TCTCATACAACCAGCGAAGACGCGGCACTGTTTCTCCAATCTCGTGATGCGAAAAATCATTGGAGGCCGTAGTTCCTCTTTCATTCCCCTGTCCGCCTGATGATTCCCGTGTCTCCCTGGGAAAATCTCCACCTCTCGATGTGTCCGTGACTGAGGCTCATGTCTTACTCCTGAATTCTTGTCGTGAGTAGCGACTTTGACGTTCAATCCGAGTGAATCATATTCGAAGTGATTTGGTTCGGAACGGTCGAGGCATCCTCAGCGCTACAACTCCAAACCTGTGGAAGTATTCGTTTCGCCCCGTATGAAATTCGATACCTGAATAACTGATATTGAGAGAGATCCGAGCACCAGGTCGGAGTATTGACTGCACTCCACATTCTTCAACTATGGTAGGTATTCCTCAGAGTGAATTCGTCTTCCTCAAGGAATCATGTGACCGCTCTCCACGAAACTCCACGATTTGGGAGCGCGTATTGGACGATACAGTCTCTCATCATCTCTAGCTCGGATTTTCAGATGTTTCGTGGATATTTGGAGAGGCTCAGAGAGCAGAATGAGGCGCGAAAAGGCGTGGTGTTGCGTTGCTCGGAATCGAGGAGTTGGAGACGGAACTACAGGTACGGTACATGGTTTTTCCGGAATGGTGGTTGACCTCCAAGTGACGGATCACCGGATCTTGTGCTGTACGCGACAGAAAGGAAGTAGAGGTCGTTGACGTTGTTCTCATCAGGCGGCCCTCTCGAAGTCACCCTTCGTTTCAAGTGCAGTCCATGAACGGCGATTGCGTCGGAAGACAATAGATCCCGGAGATCTCGCCTGATCCAGCGCTGATTCATGAATCCGTCACAGAATTAGCACGGATTCGTGAAGAAATTCCGATCAATGGCCTCCATATGTCCACGCACTTATTTCGGACGGTATCGACGATCCTCGTTCGACGATGTCTACAATATTCCACGGGAGATTGGCATTATCGTACGTGCGATGCTCGATCCTCAGAGCTCTGATCCCATCCTATTCCCCGTTTATCTTTTTTTAGAGGAGATACCTCTCATGCACCCGTGTCTTCCACGAAAGTCCATGCCCCTACAGCAGGCGCGGTAGCAGTTCCCTGAACCCTGCGGACACCGGGTCTATTTCACATGTCCACCGTAAAATACTTGATACGAGCCCGGGCGTCTATTTTTTCCGAAAGCCTCTCGGAAGGGGCTTATATTAGGAATGGGGTTCTATTGGAGATCGGCTTCTAATATGCTTTGACTGAGGAACGCCGATAATGAAAAAAAGGTTGGAACACTGCTCAACTGCAAAGCTGCATACGTTTCCATATAAATACATGATGAATTGATTCGGAATGTGATATTTTCATCACTCAATGCGATCGACAAATCGCTCCCCGTACCGTCTGCGTTTCGCATGCTCTGATTTCGGGGGGCTTGCATCGGGAAGAGGGCCTGTATTGAAAAGGGACTACTAATAGGTTTCATTTGGTATCTTACGGTAATTCGGTCTCCTGACGATAACGTCACAATTCGACACGAGGCGTTCGTAAAGGACAAGGTTCGGGGAGGTGTCGTAAATCCTCCGTCGCGTCGGCTCGAGGAACATGAGAGAAGAAATCCGTCCTGGTGAACTCTGCCTATGAGTTTTCGGAAGATCCTACGTTCGAATTCGCTCTCAAACCTCCGCGATGTCCGGCTTCCTCATTTCGCCTCCGATGTCACGTATCCATCAGGCTACCCTTTCGAGATCATATTTACCAATTACATGGAAATTACGCCCGCCATGGGATCACAATGAAAACTTTATTATTGCGTGGATCGATGTAATTTTACGACTCGTTCGGTGAGATAACGCCATTTGCGTGATTTACGATTTCAGAAAGTTGTTAAACTTCCGAGTAGGGAGTGTCGACCGACGGAGGCTTGGTCTTCTCGACTTGAGAAGCTTCCGTTACTGCGCCTCGGTAGATTCTCCGTCGAATATCAGAAAGAATTATCGCCGTTCAAAATCGAAGTTTTCCTTCTCCTGAGATATAAATCATCCATTATCAGGACGACGAGGGTATGTTCAATTCCTTCCGTTCCATGTGCGGATCTCCGTGAACCGATTTTGTGCTCATTGCCGCTCATATGTCTCGCGCTTCTTCCCCGGACCTATACCTTCGCAAGATCAGGGTCTTGCAGGGTATGGATGCTTGAAGGTCACGGGTACTTGGTCAGTTGACATCAGACCACATCCGAGTCTCTCCGTGGAGATAAGATATTCGGTTCTTCCAAGCTTCAGGGGGGAATCTCATGCCTGCTAGGCGTTGATCCATGTCGAGGTTTGACCTCACTTTGGGTTCTACGGAAGCTTCAGTTTGCCGAGTTTTTGGAAAATGCGCCGTACTCATGACCTTCTTTCAAGTTCGAGGACGCGGGACGATATCGATCTCATTTACGTCGGTCGTGCCGGGACCGCATTCTGTTCAGCGAGAAAATAACGCGATCATGCAATACTATTTTGTACACCATACAGGAGTCCCGATCATTTTGGTTTTCCGAGAGGCGAAGGCGCGAGGTGCGAATTATCGCAATGGATTCCCCCGCGTACATTAATTTCGAAATCCGATCATACTCATCTCACGACATCAGGGCCCAATCAGCTCTATATATATATCAACATCACAAGTCGATTACAGTAAAAGCTCGTTATAACGACCCCCATTACAACGAATTTCTCGGTACAACGAACAAGGAATTTCTCCTGCTTTGGCAAGCTCGCCATAGGAATAGTGTTGAGCGGCATTCGTTACGGCGAAACTCGGTACAACGAACCACTTTCGTCGGTCCCTTCGTGTTCGAAGTAACGAGCTTTCACTGTATCACTTTTCTTACATATCTATGTTGAGCTTAGGGGTTCGGTGGGACCGTGAAACATTGAGACTCTATCCGCATGAGCGCGATCCATTTGTTTTCGCTGAGACTCGAGAGATCCAGGACAAAACAGAGGCGTGAATGATAAGTGAATTTCACGAAGAGAATTTCATTCCGCCGGAGAATATGCGCACCTGGCGAATTTCGAGTCCACGAATTATCGGGGATTATTATCGGGAGTCTACTGCAGTGAGCCCCGATCAGGATCAGCAGTACTTCGGAAGCGTCGAGTCAACTTCTTGAGCGGGCCCCTCTCGCGATTGCGATAATCTCTCAGAACCGGACCCTTCGCATGAATGGGTCTCGGCGTGGCCGAAGACGCTCAAATAGTCAGATGGCTCCCGTTCAGTGTTCCGACGTCCTTACCCAGGCTGAGCATCCTCCAGTACGGCGCGATCGGTCCGTGTGCTCGATGGGCCAGAGAGACCTGTTTGTCCTGCCTACCTGCTTCTCCTTCCGTATAATTGGGCGCATTTCGAGGAGCACTCCTTTCTCCGCTCACGATTTCGAGCCTTCGTATATTTTTCCTCGGGATCGTGATGATTTTCCCGTCATAGCACGAATGTCACTGCATTATACTGCACCTCAGCTATCCTCACTTGTGGTCTCATTTCTCTAAAGAGACATGTCTTGGAAACTCTCCTGAAAATCTCGATTCCCAGTCGATCGAGGATAGTGTCAGACGATCAGTTTGCGTCAGTTATAGGCTGACAGTCCACCAATAATTGATCCCCGACGTTATCTTCAAACTCAGCGTGGCTCGTGCATGTTTCTTTGTGGACGAGCTAATCACTCGGCTACCCAGCTGGTTGGGAGCGGTTCGAGCCGGTTGATTACACTGGCAGCCTTTTACGGCACAGGCTGTCCTTATGGTGAGTGATTCATCCGGAGGAGCCCGTCTCGAGAGAATCTCATGCTTCTCCGCAATGACGGAATCCAATCACAGTTCCCCATGAATCGGAATACAATGGTCTCGAACCTCGGATCGCCCTCAGTCAATCAGAAGTGAAATCGACACGGAGCGGTCGGGACCGCCCGATCTGGGAGCGGATATTTCACGGCAATGCTCATGATTCAGAATCGCAGATGGATTTCCCGCTGAGTGAACTTCCGGGGACCTCAGGAGAGATCTCATCATGCTCAAGACCAGGAGATTATGCAGCGGCGGGCTCTGTGCTCCTCAAGATCCTCAGGTAGGTCGCCGGTCTCGGGAGTTGCGTGGCTGGAATCCTCCATCGCGGGCATCAGGCCCAATGATGAGGATCTGCCAGGGCCAGGCCAAGAACCGTGATCCCGCCGACTCTCGCAAATAATACTCCCCGTCGGAGACACCCCGTTGCTGCTAAGGTCAACCGCGTGATTCTCTTTTTCTCGGGGCGATATCCTGTGTGTTCGGCGTCGAGCCTCGAGCGTCAAGTAACCTTCTCATGTTCCGCATCTGTCGATTTGCGCTCTCTCCTACTCTTGTAGAGATCCAGGAGTTCGGTGAGGAACGAAAAGAAAAGATGACATGCTCTAGCTCCCAACGATCGATTCCTTCCACGTTTCCGAGGGTCGATGAATCTTTTTAGACGCGGTGATGGGAGGGATACGATGTGTTTTTGAAATTCGAACATTCGTCGAGGTTCCTCCGGGCCCCGGAATCGGAACGATAAGGTACTCTCGCCTGTTCCTCTCGAGATCATGTTCGTAGACACGTGCGGCGTCGGAGCCAGCGGAGACCTTTCAGCTGAAAATCGCTGGTGACGACGCGGCGTTAGCTCGATTCCCCGAGCGCGGTTCCGGCTCGACCTTGACAGACCTTCCCTCCTGCCGCGTAGAAGTACCTAATTGGGTTGCTCGAAAGCTCTCGGAAGTATGAGCGACACATTTACGACTGGGTGAAGTGCTGGCGGCGGGCGACTTGGGTCAGTGGCCGTAATTCGACTTTGTCAACTTGTCTCCGCGCCGTAAAACCTGATCTCGTGGTCTAGTGAACTCCAGGAGCTATCTTCGTTCCACCTCCTCGCCGTGACCCTCTCCTCTCGCTGAGCGCTTCTGTTTTAAGGGAAGAGCGGCGTGTATTCGAAGTAGTTGACAGACGAGATCCTCGAGACAGCCGTTGCAGAGCAGCAGCATGTGCAAGGAGGCGAGCGACCCGACTGTGATCGAGCAGGGCTTGACGAATTCTCCGGCTGTGATTGTCATCGAAGACAAGAGCCCACCCGGAGACGACTCAAGGAAGACCGACAGCTTGGTATCATGGATGGTTTGCGCAGTTTGCGCGATCTCCTTCTGCGGAGGCTCCGTCGGCTTCAGATGTTCGGGTCTTCTCCTGGTATCCATTGCTGAAGAGTTCGATATCACCAAAGGAGAGGCTGCATGGCCAACGAGCATCCAGAATCTGTTCATGTTCTTCAGCGGTGAGTCACGGGACGAATTGAACGCTGCGAATTACACGCGCCGCCCCTAAGAAATCCAATGCTGAAAGAGAACTTCTCTGTGATTCGCAGGCATCGTGGTGGGACCTCTTGCTCAAAAATATCCACTGAAACCGATCGTGTTCGTGGGGATGACTCTGACAGGCCTGGGTTTCCTACTGGGCGCCTTCGTACCGAATCTCGGAATGATGACGGTGTGCTTCGGCGCCGTACATGGCTTCGGATCGGGAACCCTCCTCGTGGCGTCGAACGTTCTACTCACGCAGTACTTCGATCGATACCGGGGCCTGGCTTTCGGAATCGCTCACTCGTCGTCACCGATTGCTTCGATTATTTTCCCATCTCTCTTCGACTTCGTCAGAACTCATTATGGGTTCAGACCCGCGATGGCGACCATCGGTCTGCTCCTTATGAGTACGGCTCCGTTAGCTCTACTGGTCAAGGATGCTCCGTGGGCGGCGAAGGGGGCTACCGCGACAGGTGAGAAAACCACCCCCTGCCCCTTGGGGAAAATTCGAATCCATCCGCGCTAAAGGATTGCCTAGGCTGAGATTGAAAATTCGACATCGATCGTTTCGTTCCAGGACCGAAAAATGAAGTTTTCGCTTGGAGCGTGTTCCGAGAACCGATGTTCTACGTGATCTTGGGCGTGAACATTGTTTTCCAATGGCTATTCGACACGTTTCTGGCGACTATCGTCGACTACGGCTCTCAGAGAGATCTAACGGTACACGAAGTTCTTGTAGTGATCGCTTGTTACTCCGTCTCCGACATCGTGGGTCAGTACTTGTCCCTCCGCTTTTCCTATTCAATTTTTTTTTATATAAAAATTCTCCGTGGCCGGACCTCAACGAACTTGCTAAGCTCACCGAATCCGATTCTTGTCCCAGGGAGAATCGTCCTGCCTGCCCTCGCTGATTGGGGTCTCCTCGGTCGTGACACTCTCCTGACGATGTCCTACTTTGTCTCAATCGCCTTCCTCCTCTTGATATGTGTATGCGCGACACAGATGGCCTTCATCGCGACCGTGAGCCTTCTGGGTTGTTTCTTCGGTCTTGCCAGTACTTATTACTTCAGCATGATCGCTCGTTACCTCGGCTCGGATCGACTGCCCTTCACGATCGGCATGATGGGAACCATCGGGGGACTGGTATTCCTTTTGATGCCCACAGCGATCGGTAAGCGTCCCCAGAGAAACGTACTTAAGTCTTGATTCCATGCTTGGGGTCCGGACCCCGACATAAAAGTTCGATATATTTACATTTGGATCAGCTATCGCGATAACTCAGATTCCGACAAAATCTCAATCGTATTATTCCTACAGGCTTCTTCAGAGATCATTTGAGCGATTACCGTCTGATGTATCTCATGAACGCCGCGCTACTGTTCGTAACCAGTCTTCCCTGGTTGTACGTCGTGTATCGCCGCAAGGTCGGACGTTCCTTGGAGCGCGCGTGAGCCGAGACTTTTGGCATTCTGGAACATCCATGACGAATAGAATCTGCGAAGAATCTCAACGTCCGAGCGTCCGATCCGAAGGCACGGCGGTGGCGTCCCCTCATCGGCTGCCCTCATCTCTTGGTGACGGACAACCCCTTGAATCGGCATCCAACGGATGGCCGGAAGGAACTCTGCGCGAACCGATAGAAGGGCAACTCGTGAGGTGGAGCGCTCGCCTCATCGGAGCTGCAGGACCTAATCAGCCACCGGATACAATTCCTTACCGGAGTAACCATGTATCTCAGTCAGAGATCAAAATGTATGATTACTCTAGCTCAACTATGTCGATTAGGATAGATCTGAATAAATTTCCAATTGTACCGAACATATGATGCTGCACTCTTGATTCTACGATATTCCCCGACAAACGGGAACGTGCCGCTGACGGACGACCCAAATCCACCCACAGAGGATTTCACACCCTCAGCGATTTTTCGATGGAGGCACGAGTCCGGAAATAAACGAGCGAGAGCCTCACGGCATGCTCCTCGTTGATCCTCCGATTATTATCATTACTTTCGAATTCTCTCGGGGGCGACTGTCCTCGGAGATTAACCCAAGAAAATACTTCCCTCGAGAGTAGAATCAGAGATCCACCTTGAGCCAAGGAATATACGACGCCGTAACGTATCTCTCCGGAGAAGAACACGTGGTGAAAAAAATACATAGTCAGAAAATGGATCGATCGAAAACCTGCGTCGACAGTAGCGCGCGGACGGCGGCGCTTGTCAATGAGACTCCGTGTTATCTAGCTCGGGACGACGGGCATCCCGATCCGAGTTTCCCCCGAATCGGAAAACTTATCTGATTATTTGCAAGACCTGGACATATCGAGCTCATCTTTCTGATACCACCGTGTTCTGCTCATGGATATCGCTGCTTATCGGCGGGAGATCTTACAAGAATGCTCGTATGAACTCGCTATTCTGGGGCGTCCAGGGACGGGCCTGTTCGAGATGAGTTCCGCTCTACTCGTTTCCTGCTTGGGAGCCCGGAAGCCACGTTCAATCGCCGTCTTATTCATTTCTACGTTGTTAAAATATCCGATTTCTGAGCGGGTCACGCGAGACTTGATGCGGGTCAGTTCAATCAAGCAATCTCTAGCCGATCGGAACTGCAATGGACCGGTTGAGAGCAAGTGATGCAACGATAGCCGACACCGAGCATTCTCGTTTCAACCGACGCGCCTGGGCTCGGCATTCAAAAGCACGTTGCCATCACGCTCTCTATCTGTCGGACGGGGTAAAGTATTGCTGTAAAATCTCTCACCCAAACAAAGTACGTTTATGGGACTGTCTCATCTGCATCCTCCTCGCTCGCCCACTCGCGGGGGGAGGAATTTAAGCTTCATAAGCGGCTTTTCTCGCATCGACGCCAGACTCCAAGAGCAATCCTCGCGTGCCGCCGGGAAAAGAGTTGCTACCGATGTGCCGGGGACCAGCTCAACCGAGGGCGATCGAGCAGGGACTGACTCGAGCGCCGACGACGCGAGAGACCAAAGACAATAGCGTCTCCCATTCGGACGAGAAACCGCGCCCCGATAGTCCACGATCATGGTTCGTCTGCGCGATTAGCACCCTATCGATATGCGGAGCAGCGGTGGGATTCAGATGCTCGGGTCTGATCCTAGTTTCGATTGCTGAAGAATTCGACATCCCGAAAGGTGAAGCGTCATGGCCCAGCAGTATTGTGAACCTTTCGATGCTGTTTTGTGGTAAGTTCGCAAGGACTGAGTTGGGTAAAGCACGGTCGTGAAGACCGTTGAGCTCAAGTCGACAACCTGAGAACAATTCACAGGGGATGTCGACTCTCGGTCACTTGAAGAAAATTACATTTTCCCCCCAGGCATCGTGATTGGCCCTCTCGCTCAAAAGTACTCGCTGAGACCCATTCTCTTCGCGGGGACTTTCTTGAATGGCCTAGGTTTCGTTCTCGGCTACTTCGCCCCCAACGTGAAGTCGATGACTTTGGGCTTCGGCGTTGTCCATGGATTCGGAGCGGGAACTATCCTTGTCGCGACGAGCGTTCTGCTGTCACAGTATTTCGATCGCTACCGCGGTCTGGCTATCGGCATAGGACATGCAGCTTCACCTGTGGCCTCGATGATTTTCCCCTCGCTCTTCGATTATGTGAAGAATCACTATGGCTTCAAGTGTGCCATGCTGGTCATCGGCGTCATCCTGATGAGCGTAGCGCCGTTGACCCTCACCGTCGACACAGCTCCTTGGTGCAAGAAGGTCAAAAGCAGTGGTAAGCACCGGGGAATCGGCGACGAGGTGAAATCGACTTCCGAGACAATGCCTCCGAAAGCGGGAGGAACCGCTGTCGACTCCAGCTGATATTATCGAAAAATTCAAGGTTCTTCGATCTTCTCTTGGAGTGTTTTCCGTGAGCCAATGTTCTACGTCATACTGTCGGTGAACCTCGTGTTCCAATGGCTCTTCGATACTTTCATGGCGACTGTCGTAGATTATTGCGCTCAGAAAGGGCTCACGATCGAGGATGCTGTGCTCATCATCGGATGTTACTCCATTGCTGACGTCATAGGTGGGTCGACAGATGGTGCGCCTTCCGGTCGAAGATGCATACGAAATAATTCATGGAGTTGACTCATTTGCCGAATTCTCCGATTCTATCCACAGGACGGATCTTGCTTCCTGCTTTGGCTGATTGGGGCTTGGTCGAGCGCGATGTTTTGATTACTTTCTCCTACTTCACATCGTGCGTGTTCCTGGTACTCCTCTGTCTCTGCAGCTCGTTGACGTCGTTCATTACGGCAGTGAGCATTTTCGGTGGATTCTTCGGCCTCTCGAGCTCCTACTACGTCAGTGTGGTCGCGCGATACCTTGGCTTGGAGCGTATGGCCTTCACCTTGGGCATGCAGGGCACGATCAGCGGTATGGTGTTCCTCTTGATGCCATCGGCGATAGGTGAGCCTCCCCTCTCAAGCCATTCAAACCGGGAACTGCTGACGAAGTCGAGGAAAGAGCTCAAAATCGAAAATTTTCAGGTCTTTTCCGAGACCGGCTCAGTGACTACCGCCTGATGTATATCATGAACGCGAGTCTACTTTTCGTGACGAGTCTCCCGTGGCTTGTCGTCATTCGCCTTCGGATTCTCGGTCGTTCTCTGGAGCGCCAGTGACGAGGACATTGATCTCTTAGGACTCATTGAATTTTGGAAAGACGTTCGATTGACGCTGGGGAACTCTCCCTGTGTACGGTGCAACTTGGGACACTGTAGATTTTTCATCCAAGGAGGGGTTCCATCCTATGAGAGCATCGTAAGTCCCAGGGGCAATGTTTTTGCTCTATAAATGAAAAAATGCGCTTGATGAATGAAGAAATTTGGATTTTCGAGTGAGGAGTCTGAAAATAAATGAAAGTCGGGAGCGGAACATAAAGACAGTAAAATCCCTCGGGGAGGTAAGCCCGCTCAGTTTATGAGTGTCACGTGTGAAGCTCGAGGGATCAATCTTATCCTTATCACGATCGTGGATGGGAACCATTGAGTCGTGAAGTAATTATTTGGTGCGGGAACACCACGGCTCTTCCCGCCGTGTCCTTTGGAGCGAGGACGGAATGACTCAACCCGAGAGTCGGACTAGCCACGAACTCGTTTATTCCCAAGCCGCGAGAGGCCGTCTTCCCTTGAAGAATCGCAATCGTAAGGCGCTGCTCGCTTATTGACTCATAATTCAGGCCTGACTTTCCCGAGAGAGACTATATACAACATGTCGCATTCTTGTACACGCATCCCCTTGAGCTTCGACGATAAGAAGTACGCAGATATTCAGGGTTCAACAATTTTATCTGCGGAGACCTTCTTAGACCATACATTGGATGAAGGGGGAGAGGGTGTCGGCAGAGAGGCATCAACGCTACATTGGTCGCGGAGGTGTCTCGAGAGAGAAGAACGTCTGAGGAGGTTCTCACAGCCGACACACTTCACCATGGTCTTAGTTACGCAGAATGGACTGTGTCTCTTGATGTCGCGGAGCGAACCCGAGAAATTGCATCCTGAAGAAGATGAAAAAATCATCGGTATCCTTCCGGCATAGTCCGGTGGCAATATCGATATCACGCGTGAAATGTGACCAAAATAGGGTCCTGACCTGTTTGGGCGCAGTGAGCGGATTTCTTCTGAATGTCGCTCTTGGCAACCTTGGTCGTCATGCTGACTTCGTCGCAAGTCTTCCTACAGAGCGCGCATTTCAACATCTTCCGCGAGAGCGTCTTCTCCCTGGGCAATAAATGCAGTATTCGATCAAGCAGCCGAAGACGAATCTCAATGACGAAGAGCTCCCCGTCAGGGTTCATAGATAATGTTTCGCAGCGAGGAGCACATGCTTGGGACGAGCTCTCACCTGAACGTCATGCCTTTCAAACACAGGTCACAAGTCCAATGGCCGCAAGGCAGCGTGTTGAGCTTCGGGGTCACGCATTGACAGACTAAGCAGATGTAGTTGATTGGGAACTCATCCAGTTTGGCTCTGTACCAATAGGATTTCTTCGAGAATCCCACAAAAGTATACGCCTTCCGGGTCGATCGCGAGACGTCCTCCATGATGCGTTTGAACACTTTACGGCGAGATCTGTCAATTTGAAGATGCCGGCAACTCTGCGAATTCCAGATGCCGACAGAGAGGAAGTTTTCGATTCCGCTCGAGCGGGCGGCTTTTGAAACGAGCAATTCCGGCAGAGCGAGTGTAGGCGAGCTGGATTAAGCTTCGATACTCACTGGTCGAGAATTTCCCGAATACCATCCTATCTCTCCCGTCATTCTGTCTCACGGAGCCTTCATCACCTTGACTGGATTAGACTGCAGACACGGATACTCTGTAGCCGGCCGGCAGACCGCGGCGATTTGCGAAGATTGTTTTGGCTTGGAAGATGACTACTCCGTCTTTGGAGGTCTATATTGCCCTTCGGATCGAGCTCATGATCGGGGGAACCAAAGCTCTGCTGAACGAGCATGGAGACTACCCTCTTGCCAGACCTCGAAAACCTCAATAATTAGCGATCGGCGATGATGCCAGGTATCATCGGTCGCTCAAACGTCCGCGAAGGTGAATAGCGAATCGCGGCATTGAATTTCGAGACGATCGCTGAACTTCCGCGCACAGTCCGTGCCTTCTATTTCCACAATTTTCTACAATTCTTCACCAATGGCATGTAGACCGTATTTTGGGTCCATTATAATCATCACTTCTCACCGAGAGAGTCATCCTCGTGATACAAAAGGAGATCCCCTCCGGAGCCCTCCGGGTGTTGTACATACCCCGGACTCTGACGAACTAGTGGCGCAAACATGTTCCAAGAGAATCACCTCGTATATAAGCAGCTTTTCTGTACGGTTCACTGGGTTCCATCTTAAGCGGGTCCAACCACAATCATTTATGAATACGAAAGGGACGATCATCTGTGCGGATGAACTCTTCAATCGCTTGCATACGCCCCCAAGCGGGGCTCAAAATGCGCCTTCGACATTGCTGAATACGATGATGTCCCGTCGAAGTTCACAGAGGGTCCCCCTGGTCGACAAACAGCCGTATTCTGCTCTACTCCGGGATACTCGAATATGGACTCACAGACATGAGCTGTAGCTTCCCCGAGGTAGACTCCATTCCGAAGACGATTCCGTAGCGAGTCAGATCAACGTCCAGAGAGCGAATCGTTCCGATGACATCCACATACTTTGATTCAAGCTCAAACAATCCGTTAGGACCTATTGTGAACTTCAAGAAAGCCTTTGTCTCAGCCATCACGTATCTATCACCATGACACAGACCAGAAATACCGTCGTTTTCTACGAGTGATCCTATGAAACGAATGTTTTTTCCTGTGTGATAAGTCTGTTGAGGTTAGAATAGCTACTCGAGTAGCTAAGTTCGAGTGGCCGGATAGGACAGTTTGAAAGATTCCTTCCCCCCGAAGGAGAACGGCCTCCTGTTCGACGAATATTCCGATCACCTGGGTATGAGAAGGCGCTCGTTTGTGACCATCGGAATCGGAACAAGGGCGCGAAACGTGGGTCAAATTCAATTGTCGACCGGAGAGATTAGCGTGGCGAGTTCCGCCCTGGTATCCGTCACGGACATTCTTGCATAGACGCTACGGCGGCGCGATTCCTTTAGGCTCGAGCTCGATCTGGGATGAAGCTCTCCGAATGCTCTACCTCTCAGCGGAGAGGGGCAAGACGGAGTCGGGGTGAATGGCTCACGATCAGTCCTCCCCTGCGCCTCGGAGGGTCGAATCGCCGAATACGATGAAGGGATTCTTAGGTTGAACTCACGTCGTCTTTAGGAATCTTGCCGACCACTAGCAACTCGATGAGCGCAGATCCCGACGTGAGTCGTAGTATCCTTCGACAGCGGGGAAAAATAACGTCGCTGAAGCAGCGCAGAAACAAGAGGTCTGCGAAGGTCGTTTTCCCGCAGTGATGCTCATAGATGCTGCCGTCGGCGGATGCCCCCACGAAGCAGTCCATCCGCCTATCCAGCGGGAACACCTGTGAAATTAATACTGCCGCGAAGATCATTCGCTCTGTGGGAGAAATCGTGTGTCTGATAGTGAAAGTTGAGCTTTGTAGCCATTCCATCCGGAATCGATCCGAGGCCATGAAGCCGTCTGTCCCTCCGGTGTTAGCTCCCTCGCGGCGGAATCCACCGCGCGAGGACCTTTCTTCAAATGAAAGGACTCCCTTGGTCTCTCCTCGATAAGTGACTTGGTTGTGGGTTCTGCCCATACGTCTCACGCGCTCTCGGGGAACTTGCGTTCTCAGTGCTGCGGAGGCGGGGCTATTAGGGAGAGTGACTGCACATATCTGGCACCCGGATGCGAATGTATACGAATATGAGGTTACTTGAATGAAGTGCAGAATCTTCTTGTCCTCAGCAATGTATTCAATTACTCATTGGGGAATAGGACAATTCGTGTTCGTTCTGTGACACGATCTGCATGATGATGGAGGCTTGTCAACGAAGGTCGACGTATGAATATCGAGGCATGGGGCACTTCCTCGAATTAACACTATCCGGCGTGTTCATCACAAGCCTTCAGGCCAGCATCTGCCACGGATTTGACTGCAGGCCAAGCATCGTCGGCCAAGCTGTTGAAGTCGAGATTCAAGATGGAACTTACACGCGCCGAGAAGAGTTTCCGGGTATCCGACTCGTTGAAGGTGTGATCTTCTTTGGTCCCAAGAAGTTCATTGTGTGAATTTCGCCGGAAGGCCAGACTCCGATCTTCTCCAGCGCGATGGCCTGCACCTCGAAAGTCCACTGAGTCAATGCATCCTGCCAAGTTCACAGTCAGAGAATGCTCGCAAGCGTCATTGCGATGGCTCTGCACCGCTCCGGAATCCAGGAACTTGTGTCTCAGCTCTAGAGCCTCTTGAGCAGCAGACACCGCGGAGCTGAGTGAGAGCTCGATTCTGGATCAGGGAGCGCTGAGAGCGGGCCATAGCAAGGCGAGTGTATGAGCAATCTTCGGGAGGGTCAAGACGGTTCCCGGATTGTATGAAGGTCACCCAACGAATCTCGAGGTGAAATTTTATCTCTACCAAGCCCCAGGATTGAGGATTTAGTACCCTCGGCAGAAATTAATCATAATCGACCGACCCCGAGAAGTCGAGCCGGAACCTCCGCGGACCCCACCGGCCAAACTCGGGATCTCTCGGAGATATCTGACGTCAGCGTTTCTAAGAGACCGAACTAACGTGATTTTTCATCTCGAAGTTTATAAGCACGGTACAAGGCATGATAAAACCGAAATCATATTGACAAAGATAATAATTTCCTTGCTTGAGCAGTCGTCCATTTTGTCAACATTTACTGGCTTCCTGTCGCTCAATTAGCCACTCCCACATCCATTTGACTCCTCAATGAAACAATCATATATACACGGAACAAGGTGGAATTCTTTTGTCTGAAGAGTGTACAAATCGTCAACACCAACATGTTTGAGGCTCCGAGTTCAACACAGTTGAAAAATCCGTCCACTGCCACCATGATGTTCTTTTCGTGGTTTGGGAACGCTTAAAATCGGCCAAAACGTCTCTCTTTAAGTATGCAACCAAACGGTCCCGGTCGATTTCATGGTCGGCTCTCCGGGATTCACATTCTCCGCAAGTCCAACACGAAAACCTGTAATTTGAGAAGGGGGGTATGAGTTTCCACGACAAGAAGAATAATCGACGCTTTTCGAAGCGAGGGTCGGAATCGTCTTCGGGGGAATTGATGCGCCACGGAAACCGAGAGATACTCACTGAGCCGTCCGAAGCACTCGCGCCCACTTTATCTCCTTTGGCGTTCCAACAGACTTCGAAAATGCCACCGGTTCCCTTGTATGAGTGCATAAGCTGCCCAGTCGCTGTTGACCAGATGTGCACACACTTGTCAAATGAACCGGAAGCGAGGTAACGACCATCTGGTGAAAACGCCACCGAGTATACTGGCTCAGAGTGTCTAGTCAAAGTGTACAGGCAGTGTCCCCTCTCGACCTCCCACAAACGAACCTGGCGAGGAAAAGGTTTGATTGAACAAAAACGCAACTCTTCACAGGAATATTCGGTCATCATAAATTCGGGACACGTAATGGAAACGGAGAGGAATGACGTACCGTGGAATCAAACGACGCTGACGCTAGAACCAAATTCATGTTGGGATTCGCCGTTTGCGGTCCGGTAGGACTCCACTTGATTGTGTAAATTTCCTTGAGGTGTGCTTGCAGATCGTGTACCAAACCTCCGTTTGGCGCGTCTTTGATAGTCCAAATCTTGAGGGTCATGTCATCCGAACAGGAAGCGAGGAGAAGTCCTTGAGGATCCCATTTAATTGCGTTCACTTCGTTCGTGTGTCCCGTGAACGTCTTCATCGGTTTCTCGACGCCCAACTTACAAACGTGGATACACTGATCAGTGGAGCAAGAGGCGAAACTGATGTTACTTTGCCAATCTACATCGAGGGCAGGAGCCGTGTGGAAAGCGAACTGCTGGGTACAGTTACCGGTCGAGGCGTCCCAAATGATTGTCGTTTTGTCAACGCCAGCAGAAAGAATGTAATTTCCTTTCTTGTTCCATTTCAATGCAAAGATGGGACCTTTGTGTTGACCGAGTGTGGATGCCAGTCGTCCTTCTGTGGTCCAAATTCTGGCAAAACCGTCATAAGATCCGGTCGCTAGCAGAGTACCTTCGGAGTTCCAGTCCAGCGAAGTGACATCTTTGTTACTCGGCACCTCAGTTCCTCCTCTTTGAATGCAATGTCTTAGAACAAGCTGCTGGCTCGCAGACGGAATGGGAGGCTCGTTGAGGTTCCAGATGCGTGCCGTGGAGTCCCCGCTTCCAGACGCCAGTAGATCCGACGCTGGATTCCACGCGCAGATGAAGACTTCACTATCGTGACCTTTCAGTGTTGTGGCTCTGGATGTTGGGATCTCCAAGGTGTTAATGCCCGGAATCCCCACCCAACTGGGTTCGTTCGGGGGTCCGGCCGGGGGCGGTATCGCGACGGGTCCTGTTTCTTCGTTGTTGGGAGTCGCTGGCGGCCTCGTTGACGTGTCCATGGGTGTAGGTGCGGTCGCGGAGCTTACGTTCCCGGATATTGTTTCAATGTGAGCTATAAGATAAACGAAGAATGAGGGCGTTTCCACAGGACGGAGAGAATTCGAGAAACGGCTCCAACATTTGAAGCAACTCACGTTTCACGTCGCCGTTGGTCGCGGCGTTATTGTCACCGTTCTGAGGGTTGACAACTTCTTGCTTCGCTTTTTGTTGAGCTGCCTGCTGTCTGGCAGCGACGACGTCGGGCATGACCGCGTCGATGAGCGATAGCGACTCGATCAACCGTTCGGAACCATCCTCTCCAATTGAGATTTCGGCTTCTGTGTATTGGAGACCCTTCTGAATGATCGACAACAGAGCGGCTGGGGGCACCAGGGCTCCATTGATGTTCGACTGAGAAATGTGAGACTCAATGCCTGTGGAGCAGAACGAGATTCGATTTGTCAGGAATGATGAGAGAATCAGACCCTTGGAGCCGCACAAAGCGACATGCAGACATGTGCAACCAGTGCAATTCGATGGTTCCTCGAGGACGCTACAAGGGTGCACACCGCGGTGCTAATCGATAGATGTCCTCCGCGGTCCTAATCTACATAAAGATGTCCTCCGAGAGTTAGCTTATCGAGGATCAGTAGCGTGCTCCGGGGGGAAGGGGAGGCGGTCCACCCCGGGCGGCACAATCGAGGGGGCGGCATTTCCGGGTGCGACATCAAAAAAAACCGGCTGGTTTCGTGAAAATTTTCGGAATTTCTCTCGGAAAATATCCGGACAGGGGCGGCATTTTGGTTGATCGCGTCCAAAAGTTAAGAAATTTTGTTGAGCGACCAGGGCGCCGTGAAGGGGTTGCACGCCACTGTCGAGGATGAGAGCTTTGAGCAGCGTGGTGATCAGGATCAGACCAATCTAAACGCTGACCGGAGACTCAGAGATCCACTCATATGGTGGCCGTATAGTTTCTCGAATCTCCTGGTGTCCCTCGTGCATGGCTCCGATTTAGATTCGCGAGAAGGCGAGAAGAAACACAAGCAGGCATGGCAGCAAACTCCCAATGGATTTTCCGCTACTCACCGAACGTATAAGCTGAGTGGAAGAAACCCGATTCTTGGAGGTAACGATATACCAAGAAGTTGACTTCGTCGCTCGTGAAACTCATCTCCGGACCGGGCGGACGTCTTTACACTGAAAGAATCGAGATGAATACGCATAGGAACTCATCATATCGCAAGCTGGTGGCGGGGTACCCTATTTCCAGTATGTCGCGCAAAAGACCGAGTGTGCGTCGGGCGCGTGAGCCGATTCGAGCACCGGTTTTCCGCATAACATGAAGTAGTGGTTGATTGAGATGGACGCCACCGCTGCCGTGGCCGTTCGTAAGATTAGGCCTTCCTCACCTTCTTGCGAGACGGGACGGGTTCTCCTTTATATGACCGAACAACACTCGGCATCAGTATCTCATGATGACTCGGCTACACTATATCGCGTCTAATTAGAATTAAGGCCCGAAAAGCACTAGAGAAGTCCCGCCGCTCTCTATTACCGCGACACTCGCTTTGTTGTGATGCGCTGCTGCTAAGCACAGACTAGGCTCACGATGATGACTGTGATCCGCAACTCGAGTGCCGGCGTTTGTCCGAGTAGGGCGCCACGTGTCGCACTTTCGAAACGTTTCTCGACAGCGCGGCGCGCGACTGAGACAGAGCGATCGGCCAGAGGTTTTCTATTGAGGACCCTCTGACCTCTGCGACGGGGAAAATCTCACAGAAATGAACTTAGCGGCGAATCTTCTTGTCACGTGAGGCTGCGATGACGGTTGACGCAACCGATCATCGAGTACCAGGTTCTTCGAAGGGATCATGAGCCGAGCGATTACCACTCGAGTTCGAGCCAATCGAGTAGTTCTCGAGCGAGATTAAGATCGGAGCCATCCCTGAATGTATTTTCATAATCTACGGTCATCCAGGCTTCATCGTAACTCGCCGTCGAGGTGACGCTGTCCCGTTCCTCGACAGATCGATGAAGACAATGGGCTTCGAATAAATCGAGGACGTCTTCATTTTTCCCTCGCCATATCGATGCTCGGTAAATTCTTTAGCGAAGTCAAGACGAGGGTGAAGAGAATAGGTGAATGGAAAAAGGACCGTATCGGTCTCGATATCGCTCCCGTCCCCGATTGAGAATATTGCGGAACCGGATTCCTGAATCTCGGGAAAACTGTTACGACGAAATGTTTAGCACAGATGCGAAGTCACCGCGTATCGAGGCGGTCCGTTTGAAACAGAAGTCACATGCCACGAAGAATTCCTTCAAGGGGAGCGATGCGCGAGGGAAAATTCTCTGCATGGACGCCATCCTCATCAGTTCACGAGGTTCGCGGTCTCCCAGGAATCCTCTCCTATTCCCGGGGCGTCGAAGCTCCATTGGAAGATTTCGATCAGCACCTCGAGCGAGCGAGCGATGCGATCAGTATCTCTGAAGAATCGCATTAGATACTCCTTCATATCTTCCACAGCGGAGTCTCTGCTTTCCGAAACGAGGAGTAGATAGCAAACATCAAGGCATGAACTCGGGACCCACACTAAGCTAACTCAGCAACCATCGAGAAGCTTTCTCCGCGCACTGAATCCGCCGGCGATCTTGGTCATTGCCCCTGCGCAAATCTCATTGGGCGAGGTGCTTCCATTCGGGCTTGGAAGTCCATTCTTCCTGAGTCTCAATGATCGATGCTCAGCAGCGGAGTCATTTCGGAAGCCGCGTCCAGGACAAATATCCCTCCCCGGGCGGCTCAAAATTCGCGGAGAACTGAGAGATTCCGACACAAATCCGCAGAGATCTTGATCCGATGGATCGCTCCCAGATCGAGTACTGCGAAATCCTTGACTTCATGCAACAGGGGCCCAGAGAATGCGCGAGATTTCCGTGCTCTAGAACGAACTCGTAGAGCGAGAATGTCCGGAGCCTCCTTAGCTCCCTTCTGCCGGACACTCTGATTGACAGGACAGGCGGGTCAAAAGTACGAATACATATTTCCGAAAAGTAGATTGCATAACCAACGATTGATTCCACGCCCTCCGCGCTCGGGACCGTGATGCCTTATCGAGCCTGATCGATGACGAAGATACCCTCATTCCGGATATTCGGAGGCACTGCGGATCTAGCCCTGGCGGCGCCCGGGGGCGAAATGACTGGAATGAGGTCCCGACTCTGTCTCCGACGGTACCTAGTCCCTCACGTGAAAAACAGATGCAGATCCGATGGATTTCTCGACTCGAATTTAAATCACTCCCCTTCTCGTTACGGTCACAATGTCTCGATGTATTATAATTTAAAGTCTGACTCGTCTTGCTCTAACAGTGGCGAAATTTTCGGCAACGGATTCAAAGTGCGTATCCTTCGTTGCCTGTTTCTCGATGCTCAGAATAGCTGAATCCACAAGTCGCTCTCGATTCATCGAAGCTCTAAGGTGCGTCCCGATCAACTTTAGTTTACTGAATGATCTCTCGCAACACGCAATGGAGACTGCCACCGTCAGTAGAATCTGGATCGACACACGCAAATCAGGGAACACACTGGCGTCACCGTATTCAGCGACGAACTCGAGGACTTCTTCGGGTTTCTTCAGACGCACCTCGCTTCTGGTACCAAGCAACATTCTGCAGTCTCGAGGAGGACAGGAAACTTTCCAATATGCAGGGGCGCCGATTCCAAGTCCCGCGCTCACGGGGAGCTAGGCTCGAGCTAAATCGAGCGCCAGAATCTTGAGCGAAACGCGAAGATATACATTACAAATCGTGGGGAATCAAACCTCGGTTCTGAGCCTCCTACCAGAGGCTCGGCGCTCGCCCCCGGGGGCGATAGCCCCCTCTGCCCCTCCCCCCTAGATCCACCACTGCTCGGAGGGCTGCTGTACCACTCGAGATGCAAGAGCGGGGCATGATCATCGGAAGACAAGATTGGGGCCTCATGCCTGGTCCGTCAAATCATTTCTTAAGAACTCTCGAAGTTACGATCGGAGAGCCTTTGATGCTTGACATCAATTCATGAAGTCCTCTCGGTCAGGACTGTGGACCGTGATACGTCTTAATCGCTCGCGGTCGAGAGACCTTCGTCGACTTAGTTGATCCGACCCGAAGCGATCCCCTGGAGTGATATGCCAGGCGCAAGCGCTGAGGCGGGACAGGCAGATTCATACACGCTTCCGGATCGAACATGGGACCTGAGGGCAAAGGCAAGCTGCGCGGGTGCGAACTCGCGGATCTTCATGTCGATGCGTCGATTAAGAGAGTAGCAAGATCTCGGTACATCTCTAAACTGCGCCTAAGATGCATGCCGCAGGCAGAAATCTTTGCGGAGAAGATATCGGACCAAGCGCGATCGCATAAGTTTGGTCACGCAGTCAGGGCCCGGAGGGACCTGAAGATCTGTTGCTTCTGGGCATTCACTCGGTTGGAACTTGCTGATTAGAGAGACGCAAAGTCTTTATACCTTCCGATCACGACCCATCGGCCTCGGCCGACCGTGTCTATCGATCCCCGACGATGGGTAGTTCGAATTTTCTCCTGGAGCTTGGAGCGATCTTCAGCGATTAGCTCAGCGGTGAACGAGGGGGAAGGAACAGACGCTCCTTCGGACGCTATAATATGCACGTAGAGATAATGATTGATAATTATTAATCATTGAATCGGTTCTTCGAGATCTCTCCCACACTGATCGCTTTTGCCCCCCGTCCAGGATACGGCTGGATGCGTCGCTTGACGGCACAGACCACAAAAATTTGGAAGTGGCATAGGACTAACGACGTGGAAATGTCGACGTGGATTCACGGACAACAGAGACAGTGAATCTGCTTACGCATTGTCGACATCAACTCGCGACTGATTAGGACTCGATGCGATTTGAATACAGAGATTATCTTCTTGTAGCATCTGTAGTTGTGGTTTCATTCACCGATTTCTTTCTCTGGTCAAGTTTCCGCTCCTGCGCGCGGTTCGCACTACAGCTGAGCGCGACCGAGAGCGCGTCCTCTGCGCGAATTTCAGAGAGATCTGAGTTTGCCTCACGATCGATGGATAAATCTCTTCCGAGCTTCCGCCGCGCCGCTCGGATTGCCGCATGTTCGATGATGGCTGATGGGGGTTCTTGCCAAGCGAGCGGCGGTCGGAGCGCATCTATCGGGACGATGTCGAGAGATCTCTCACGCTTTCAGGGCAGCATGCACAGTTGGTGCATGCGTTTCGTCGATTCTCATGAGCAAACGAACGGACGGGGCCGATAGACAAGCTGTATTTGGAGTAGCTCGATGATGATGAGGAGCGCACAGCATCCGGCCGTATAACGCATCTGAAGCTCTGTAAGGCGCGTCTCTCGATCCATTGAAGCAATCGGGAGAGATCGAGCGGCCTACCGACCGACCGGCCGGCCGCTCGACTATCTCATCGTGTGAGGAACCGAGTAAAAGAAAAACCGGGAGAGAGTAATCGAGCGAGCGAGCTCGCTTAGGCAGGGCGTCGATGCCTTGACCCCGAACAGCAGCAGCGGCGGCGGCGGCGACTTCCGAGCCTTCTGTCGGCGGCGGCGGCGGCCGCGTTCTGTAGCGAAGAACAACAGCACCCCCGGCCAGGCAACCGAACGGACTCGCGGGATTGTTGGCCCGGCCGCTCGGTCGGCCGTTCGGTCGCCTGCTAGCTAGGCAGGCCGTCCAATCCGTCGAAACTGGTTCGGATCGAACAAACTCTGCGCGCACGGCCAGATTGGGATGCATGAGAAGCAAACGACGACGGCGACAGATGTTCCGTTTGAACTCACGGACGGATTCAGGCCGTTCTGGCATTGCGCTATTAACGCCACGCTCTTCAACGCCAAGCTGCTCATTGTTCACCAACGCGGCTGCTGTACGCCTAAAATCGATCGTCGTGAGCCTGCTGCTGCTGCTGCTATAGATCGCTACAGTGTAGTACCTCATCCATGTGAGCGTACTATACTTCGAACGAGAGAGCTCGCAGAGTCGATAAAACCGTTCTTCATTGCATTCTCCGGTGCGATGAGAAAAAAACCTCTCGAACGGAACACCACCCAGCACGCTGACCGAAAACTACAGATGGGACGACATGAGGGATCTCTCATCAGACCGGATCGGCAGCGCGGTGCGAGACCGCCGACGTTTGTCGTCCACATCGTTTTTCTAAGCAAGAACATTATTCCTAGGATGGGGAATCCCTTCGACTGACTGCGAGACGGAAATTTTTTTCGGAACCCGAGAAGACTTGGAGAACGATTTTCGATTCGCGATAATCGCCGCCGATCACCGTACAAATTCGGGGCGGCTGAGAAGTTCGAGGTAAACAACGAAACTACCGACCGTATTCTCGAGGAGCACTGAATCGCGGGTGAGTCGGCCTTCGCTTTCTGGAAACTGACGCTCTCGACATGAGAGATTTCGCCCGCTACGCCGAGGGACATCGGGACAAATTTCGCGTATGCTGTTTCTTGCGTCTGGCGTGACTTCCCGCAAGCCGACATGGAGACCGTCATCCGCGTGCTGCGCCACCGAACCTCTAAGTGGACGTGCCGTAGATAGGTACCGTCGCTTCGAACGGGTTTCATGAATGAATCAAAAGAGCGACTTTGGGAAGCCACCCGTGATAAGCAGCGACAAGAATTCGCTCACGATAACGGCGTTGGCCGCTGACAGCTGCTGCGCTTTTCGGTAGTGGCGGCGGTGCGGCGGTGGAGGAGGTGGTGCATGATTTGGAGCCGCTGTGCTTGATTCCGTTACGCTTGACGGACGGAACGGCGCGTGCTGTTATCATCAGCAACGCCATCCATGTCGACGACGGCAGCAGTGGCAGCAGCAACAACAAAAACGGTCGGTCAACTAACGGCACGGGCCGGTGAACGATTAGGACTACTCCTAAGGGCGCACGTCGATAGAGGCACGCGCGAAGAACCCACGGACAGACGTACGGTGGAACAGATCGCGCTCATAATTGGGAAGTAAGTGACGGAGGACTGACTGACCGAATGAATGAGAGACTGCGATGATAACCGATTGGGAGCACGCGCTCGTTCAGAACTCGTATCGCATGCACAGACGCGTACGATCGTCGTCGGCCTCCCGGTCTCGCCTCAGACTCCGCGCGAAGAACGACCGAGAGTTACCGTTAGCAGCTATTCGGAATGGTCCGATCAGAGAAGCCCAAAGCAGAACCGCGGCGCGTTTCCCGCTCCGGGAAAAGGTTCACAGGTCGCGTATTCCTCGGTACGGCAGAGATTGCTCTGACGTGCGTGATAGTGTGTGACAATTCCGCATTAAAGATCGTATCGGAATGGAGACCCCGGTTGACTGAATGAGCGAACACATGTTCCGGTCGACTGGTATATTGACCGAACAGATGTGCTGACTCAGAAATATGCGCCGGTGAAGCTGCTGACTGACGTCGCGCGCGCGTTCGAGAGCGCACTTTCTCAGACGGACGTATTCGTTGACGTGCAGACAGTCGAAACTGTTGATAAACAATAGACAAGACGTTTTTCAAATTTTCCGTGGTGCAAGTTCCCCCATTGTGGAAGAGGGCTCTTCGACTAGCTCGCCTATTTTCCTCTCCGATAACCTTTCTCCGGGAATTTTCCCTGCTCGAGAGGACCCCACGTCATACTCTAATCATAAGTAGTGTTCTGTGAAAGACTCAAATCAATTTTATCGAAGAAGAAGGGGAACAATAGTGAGGTGTTTCCAACGTGAACTCCATAAGCCTCTGGAAGATTCGGCTCCGGTTCCGAATCCAGGCTCGAGCCGTCTGGTAAGTCACGAAGTTTTCCTGATGGCTCCGTTTCGTTCCGTAACCGTCGTGGGGGAAGACCCGGGACAACTGGAATTTTCCCTCTGAATTCCGATTGATATTGACGTTCAGCAAGTCAGGCCGATTCTCGACGCACGTTCAGGAATTGGCCTCGGTTATGTTCACTTTTGCGTGCGCAGAGCCTCGATTTTTTTCCCGTACGTCGAAATGCAATCGGTTAGTTGCTAGTGGTTATCGCATTCGGTAGTGGTCTTGAGGGTGTAGAGAATGTGTCACGTTCAGGCTGAACTGGAGGCTGGGGGAGGCCTACGCCTCTCGAAGTCCCCGTCGTTGTCCTCCTCGTGTTCTCTGCAGTAGCGGCGGCGGCGGCGGCGCGGTGGCAGCAGCAGCAAAGGCAGCAGATCCTCGGCGTCCCCGCAGGCGTCCGATCAGCTAGCGGCCAGGCGAACCAACGAGCGGCTGGTTGGCAGGCAGGCTGGCTGGCTGATGATCAGCAATCCAGCGAGAAAGAGAGTCCTCCATACTCAGGAGGACGGGGGACGGTAAACGGAGTCTGTCTGCTTGCCTGCCCGCCCGCTCGGCCAGCCGACCGACTGCCAGCCTGCTTTCGAGGGGAGAACTCGGAGGGAGCTTCCACGAACGGCTGACTCATGTGCGGCAGTCTAGCCATCCTGAGTTCTGCGAAGGCTGCAGGAGCTGCGCGAATCGATACTCACGTAAATTCCGTTTTTCGAAAAATTTGGAGCCTGAGCTCGAGCACGTCAAATGTTGGGGGAAGCAGAGTCTCGTAAGTAAATGAGATGGGGAACGTTGCGGCGTCGACAACGAACGTCGTCAGCCTCCCCGCACTCTATCCTATCGGGAGGGGGTCAAAAAGGAGAGAAACGGGAGGAGGGGGATGG